ACCGGGCCTGTATTTTTCCCGGATTTGCAGATATGTCCCTCAAGAATTTCCCTCACAGGTAGGTCTCTCGGTTAGCCCTCAGCCAAACAAAATTATGAATCTGTCCTACCTATAGTACAGCCTCGACAGAGAGAGGCTACAGGCACTCAGAAAACAGCAAGTCATTGCAGACCTACCCTCCCCCGGAGCGAGGACCTCCGAGCTAGGGGCGTAGGCGTGCAGAGCGCCGAAGGGATGCCCCGTTTTGTGCTGCCTCATATTTGAGGATGACAGACTTGGTTGTCTTCAGGAGATCCTTGCGAAGAAACCAGCGATCTTCAGTGTGCGGCTGGTACAAGAACTTCACAAGGTATTCCTTATCTGGGCCTGTCCCTGACTCATCCTCCACAGATTCGACCTCATTCCCTTTGCCAGGGATAGCGGGACCGAATTGTGGCGGCCTGTCTGGAAATGCATCAGCTGGCGTATATGGCAACAGCTTAGATGCATGAAAGACAGGGTAGGTTTGTAGATGCAGAGGGACGTCCACATTATAGGATGGTCCAAACGGATCAGCTCCCACTGTATCTAAGACCTGCCATGGACCCATATATCGTGGCAGCAGCTCAGGCGAAATGTCCTCCTTTCGTGACAGCTCAGAACAGAGTACCCACACCCAGTCACCTGTGCGAATCGTAGAAGGACGCCTGTGCTTACTGGCCTGTTGAATAATAGCCTTTTGGGCTTTCAACAGGTTAGCACGGGCACGCTCTATGTCCACACGGTAACGCCTGGTGAACTTTGCAGTTCCAGGTGTCAGCGTAGGGGTAGCCTTGTCGATGATATCATCGAGAGGCTGCCGTGGTTCACAACCCCAGTGTAACCGGTAGGGTGTGAAACCAATCGAGGAGTGTACAGACGTGTTATACACAAGCTGTGCACGACTGAGATGGAGATCCCAGTCCTGCTGATCTGGACTGATCACAGGACGCAGCAATTGGAACAAAATCTGGTTCATCACTTCAGCCTGACCATTGGCTTCAGGATGATGACCAGATGTCATATCCAACCTTGAATGAAGGTAATCCCTGCAGTATGATTGCCATTCATTGCTGCAAAAACGGGGATCTCTGTCACTGACAATGGAGGTGGGTGGTCCATGATGTGTAACCCACCTGTCAGCAAAAGCCGCCTGAACGGCGGGCACACGAGCCTCAGCTGGTAAGGGGATGCACTCTGCATATTTGGAAAACCGATCCACACATACCATGACCTGACGCATCCCTCATGGTGTGGTCCTACCCAAGTCAGTGAAATCAATAGAAACTGACTGTGCAGGAGCATCAGGGATAGGTAGGGGTTTGAGTAAGGCAAGGGGAGGTCGACGTACCACCTTGTTCCTTTGGCACAACTCACAGGTTTCCACATAGTGCAGCATGTCACTCCTCATGTCCTTCCAGAAGAAGCGCTGCGACAGGGCTGCATAAGATTTGAGGGCACCAAAGTGACCACGAGCGTCATGACACTCCGACATCAAAAGGGTCCTCAGCTTGTGGTCCTGGGGAATGCACAGGCGCTCCTCGCCTTTGCTGCTCGTGTACAGCAGGCCTGAGACCAGAGAGTATCCTGGTTCAGAGGCCGGATCGTCCTGGAGATTCCTCACAATAGGCCCAAAGATCTCATCTTGGGGCAGCAACTGGGCAATGGTCTGACGTGTCCTCTCCCCAAACGAGTGAGTAAAGGAGATCGGAAAGAGAGCGTCAGACCTACGAGAAAGGGCATGTGCGACTCTATTGTAGCAGCCCTTCTTGTGTCTCAGTTCAAAGTCAAACATGTCAATGAACTGGATATAGCGAGCAAGCTTGTCATTCAGCTCTCCCTGGGACTTCATCCACTGAAGGGTGGAGTGATCTGAAAAGATCTTGAAGTGCCTGCCCAGGAGAAAGTGCTTCCAATGCTTGAGCGCTGACACAAGAGCATAGAGCTCCTTCTCATAGGTAGAGTCCTGCAGCTTCTTGGTCTTAATCTTCTTGCTCATATACTCAATGGGCTGCAGACCATTCCCATCATCCTGCTGAAGTACCGCCCCTACATACTGGCTAGCATCAGTAGTCAGTACAAAAGGCAAAGTAGGGTCAGGTAACTTCAGGACAGGGGCACGAATCAAGGCCTCCTTGAGACGTGTAAAGGCCTCCTGACATTCTGACGTCCAAAGAAAGGAAGCGTCTTTCTTTGTAAGATCAGTCAGGGGAGCTGCAATCCCTGAGAAGTTCTTGATGAACTTCCTGTAGTAGGATGCAAGCCCCAAGAAAGACCGGACATCACGAATGTTAGCAGGTCGCGGCCAGTCCTGAACTACAGCAACCTTTGTTGCCTCAGGAGCCAACCCCTCTCCAGAAATCACGTGTCCCAGATAGATCACAGAGGGAACTCCAAAGGAGGACTTCTCCCTGTTGATCTTACACTGGTTAGCACGTAAGGCCTGGAGGACCAGAGCCAGATGCTGCGCATGCTCATGGACAGAACGACTGAATACCAAGATGTCATCAAGGTAGACAACTACGAACTTGTCCAGGTAAGGCCTCAGTATGCGGTGCATCTCTGTTTGGAAGGTGCCTGGCGCATTGCAAAGGCCGAATGGCATAACCAGGTACTCGTAAGTCCCATACCTTGTTTTGAAGGCTGTCTTGTGGACATCGCCTTCAGCCATCTCAATCTGGTGGTAACCAGATTTGAGGTTGATCTTGCTGAAAATAGTACAGCCCTGCACCATATCCAACAGGTCGTCAATACGAGGAAGGGGCTCTGTAGACTTCCTCGTGATTTTGTTGAGACCACGATAGTCCACGCACATCCTGAACTCACCATTCCCCTTTGGAACAAAGAGGACTGGTGCCCCAAACTCAGATGTGTTGGGCCTGATCCAGCCCTTGCTGGTCAAGGTCTCTAGCTGTTTCCTGAACTCTTCAAGTTCAGCAGGAGACATCCTGTAGACCCGGCCCTTGGGAGGGACCGAGCCAGGCAGGATCTCAATCTTATGTTTGGTCTGCCTATGGACAAGTCCAATAGGCTCCTCCATAAGATCTGAGAAGCGGTCTACCACCTGCTGAATCTGAGAGGGACAGGGAGCAGTTTCCACGTCAGTCTGTTTGACAGAAGCCACAAACAAACGAGCGTGGTCAGTCTGGCGTGAGAATCGCAAAAACTATCGAGCACTCATGCAATAACAGCTGCTGGCCGGATGGTACTCATCAGCGAGCATGCAAGGGCGATAGACCCTATGCCGGTCAGTCAGCTCAACCCTAGGAATCTGCCAGTCAATCCTAGGATTGGTGGCACCAAGCCACTGCATAGAGAAGACAAGGTCAAAGGGAACGTTAGGGAACACATAGAAGTTCAGGCGATGCCTGACTTCTCCCTGCTTGTCAAAGGACACACGTAGGCCCTTGACATCAGTGGTAATCCTGACTGTGGAAGAGTCCCCAATGCGGACCTCCAATGGCTGTTGCAATTTGACTAACCTCTGGTCCAAGTGCAGCTTGTTGACTGCCTTGGGAGAGATGAAGTTGCGAGTAGCCCCACAGTCCAAGAGTCCTTTGATCTTGGCTCCCAGGATGTAGGGTCAAAGTAGGATGAGTTCGGACTTGTGCTTTTTCTTCTCCTGCAAGGACAGGAAAAGATCAGCAATAGTCTGAGCATCGTCCTCCTCCCACGTCTCATCCAGCTCAGAATCTTCAAAAGTGAAAGACCCTGCCAATGCAACTCTAGAAATAAAAGTACCAGTGAGAGAATGTGAAGATTCGCCTCCATCAGAGAGGGAATCAGCACTGGTGGAAGGAGCTGCTGCTTCCACCTCTCTCTGCTCTAGTTTTTTGAACTAGAGCTGCCTGCAGACCTACGAGGCATACTGGGACAGTCCTTGAGAAAGTGGTCCCCCTCGCATCTCAGGCAGACCCCCTTATCCTGCCTCTTCCTCCAAACTCCCTCCTGGATCCTGAGTGCATGCCAGGGGAAGGTGGAAGGATCAAGTGGGTCAGCTGGCCAGCGGACGTCTCGTGGTAGAGGTACTCTCTGGGCCCCAGGGGAAGAGGCACGTCCCTTCCCTTTCCCCCGGTGACTGGTTGGTGCTTTCTGGGATGGGGCCTTTCCCTTTGCCAAGCCCATCAAAGCATCAGCCAGGGCAAGAACAGGATCTGCAGCTGATGATGATGCAGTCCCAGGTGGAGGCTCCCACCCTGGGATGCTGCGTCACTATCAGAACCAGACGCTGCAGTAGCAAACAGGGCGCCCTTCCTCCTCCTTCGCCCTTTGGAGGAGGGCCCCTTCCTTCCTTCAGAAGGTGCTTCCTGGACATGGAGCTTGGATTCCAAGTCCAGGGCTGCTCTGCCAAAGGACCTCCAGTCCTTGTGGCCCTGAGAGAAGAGAGCAAGCTAGAATTGCTCAGGCGCTGCCGTCAGGAAATGAATGAGCAGATCCTGCTCACTCATCTCCAACCCTGGAGTCGATGTCAGACTCTCAAAGGTGGAATACAGTTTGGACAAGGATCCCTCAAACTTTTTCTGGCCCAGGCGCAGAATTTTATCTGCCGCCTTTCTTGCCTGCTCCTTGTCTGCAAACCGGTCCTGCAGGGCCTGCAGAAATCCAGCCACCCCCAACCTCTGCGCCCAATCAGCCATCTCCATCCCCTGCTTGCTGGAGGTGGAGGTGCACCATTTTAGTGCAGTCCTCTCCAGCCGTGCCAGGATGGCTGACACCTTCACATCCTCGTCGCATTTGAACCCACTCAGTTAGGTTCGCTGCGCAGTCACCCAATCTGCCACATCCACCTTAGGATCTTCTCCTGAGAACATTGGTGGAGGGGTCAGCTTGGGCCGCTGCGGCTCAAATGGGGCTGAGGACTGAGATGGTGCTGGTGACTTGGGTGTAAGAGGTGGGGATGTAGGTGTAGAGTGTGGGGGGTTTGGGACAGGTGTTGCAGAAGGGCCCGAAGAGGGGGGAAAAGTCTGAACAGGGGTAATCTGCAGCTGTTTGGCAATGTTGTTCAACTGAGCAGAGATGTCATCCAGCTTCTTTGACAAAGCTGAATGACTGGTCTCTAGACCTGAGATTCGGTCATCCCAGTTAGTAAAGTAGGACCGGTGAATCTCATCCTGCAAAAGGATGAATTCTGCCATGTCCTTACTTGCCTGACTGGTCGTACCGAGGCTCATAATTCTCTGCATATCTCCAATCAACACTTTTCTTCTGGCCTCTTCCTGGGCATACTCTTCCTTCCTCTTGAGCTCTGCCTTTAGGTTCTCAACTGCCTGGGTCTGCAAGCGGAGTTTCTCCTCTTGGGCCCGCAGTTCAGCCTCTAAAGGGTCAGGCGGTACAGGTGTTACAGGCTGCACTTTCATCTCAAGCTTTACCTGGGGTGTCTCCGCAAAACTCTCAACTCCCTCAGCCTTCCCTGATTTCGCCATATTGCTCCCCACAATACAGACAAATAAACAAACAGACAAATACAATCAAAGAACGGACAGGAGGTAACAGGAGTTGGATGTTCCCTGCAGTACTAATCCAATTGTTGTCACCTGCCTGGAGAGAGAAGATTGGTTAGTCTGAGCAAGTGAGTGCTCAGTCTCAGCAGACCGCTTGAGGGTCAGGGTCAATTCAGAGTCCACTCAGGCAAAAATCAATTTCACAATTTTTCCATCCCTGCCGTGACACAACAATTGCACGCAATAATTGCAAATCCTGGATCAACAACTGACAGGATGCAGTCTTGGACTAATTAGTGTTGATTAGTAATCAGACATAGTGACTAATTAGGGTTAATTAGGTATGTACTGATGACCAAGATGCAGCGATTTACAGGAAAAGTTATTTTTAGACCTACCCTGTGGACATCAACACCGTATGACCCTGGATGCCATACTGGGGGTATGGCGAATTACAGCAAACACTGTAACTGACTCAAAACAACAAATCTGCCTGTGCGATTTCAGACACTGGTAGAATGTTGAATTGCGATTTACCAGGGACTGACAGAACTGAATTCTGGCGGGCAGAATCAAAGTTATGACTGACCCTAGTCTACCATAGCTTTGGCTATGTCAGCGCAGAATTCAAATTTGCAGTATCATTGACAAACTGGCCCTGAACAATGCAATTCACAGTATAATATGAATCGCAACACTGTACAGCAGTAGCAGATGAGATTTGGGTCAGAGGGGAGGTCAAATAGGGTTAGTAGAGGTCAAAGAAGATAGGTAGGAGAAGTTGGATATGGCTGTCCCACAGTCTGAATTTCGATTTTCAACTGTCACCTGACAGACAGACCAAAGTTCTCTATTCTACAAATAACCCCAGAATCGCCACACAGGATAGAGTAAGGAACACACTCACTTCAGGGTCAACTCTGAAGAAGATGCAAGAAATCTTGGCTATGGATGAATAGTCAACCCTGTCTCGCCAGTTTCACCTCCTGACAGTATACAGTGTTCCCACGTACAGAATTCTTCCAAACTTGGTGATCCAGTAGATTTCCCTGAGGCGCTTCACCCCCAACTGACAGATTCAACGAATTTGGACTCCCACGTGTTGATAACTGCTCCAGACAGTACAACGCCACATCACCCTGTACAACGCTGATTGGAAATTGGGGATTTTGACCCAATTCCAAAAATCGCAACCTCCTGGGATCACTTCCCTGACAATCGCCAACCTCCAGGTGCATCGCCAGACTATAATTAGCCTCCCAGAGCCTTCTGGGCCTCTGGATTATCCATCGCCACTCACTCCTGCATAACCCTAGCCAGGAGTGTGTCACCCTCTGCCTGTTGCTTCTCGCCACGCACTCACAACCACCACCCTACTGACAACAACCCTGAAGATGATGAATCGTCATGAAGCTCAACTCCAGTATCTCGCCAGGTGATAATGGGTGCTCCAACTCATCAATCGCTCCAGAGCCTGGATCCAATTGCTCTGATACCAACTGTTATGATTCTGGTTGTTCGTTGCCTGATGGCCAACACTCACTCACATAAACTTCTGCACATGCCCATACACACACAGAAGGAAGGGGAGAG